CTACTCTAGCCAATTTTCTATCTAATTTAATAACGTCCCCCCCCCCCCACCACACACACAGATTTAATTTTTGTAACAAGTCTTTTTTGTGAAGAACCTTATCAAATGCTTTCTGAAAATCAAGGCTAAACCAAATCCACACTATGTCCTTCATCAACTCTTGCAGTAACATTCTTGAAGAATGTCAGAAGATTAGTTACAGAAGACTTTTCCCTTAGTGAAACCATGCTGGCTCTTTGACACCATATGAAACTGCTTTAAGTGACTCTGCAATGCATCTTTAATCACACTGTCCAAAACCTTTCCAACTACTGATGTTTATCACCTCCTTTAAATATTGGACAAACATTAGCCAACTTCCAATCTTCTATAAAAAATATTACCTAGTGGTTCACAAATAAAATATTTAAGTTCCTTTAAAACTCTAGGATATCTTTTACGTCAATATTTTCCCCTTACATTAAGTGCTCTGGTTGAGGCATAATACATGTATCTTCCTTTGTAAAAACTAAAGAATGTGTTATGTTTATCTCTAATATGATCTCTTTTAACCTTTACTAAACCATACTGACATGTTCTGCTCTATTGCCCCCCTTTTTTTTGTAGGGAATATGTATATCAATTTTTCCCTAAATTCTTCCCACACCTGTTCAAGATCACCTCCCAAGTCTTTAGTCCAATCTACAGAAGCCAGATCGTGTCTCATTCCATCCAAATTGACTTTCCTGAAATTTGGAATCGGGTACTATCCTTCCCCAATTCTGCATGTAGTAAAATCCCAAACCTAATAGTGCAGTGGTCGCTTATACTTAAATGCTCACCAACCATAACTCTGTATATCATATTCACATCAGATGCTAATATTAAATCTAATATAGCTTCTTCTTGTAGGTTCCATCACCAGTTGGTGTATAAAAGTATCCTGAACTATTTCCAAAAACTTGTACCCCTCTCTGTCAGACTCAATTTTCTCAATTAAAATCTCCCATAATAACATCTTTTTTTCAGCTACCATTCTGATCTCATTATATATTTTCTCATTAATTTCCACGTTCTGACCTGGTGGTCTGTAACAAAAACCAATTACAAAACTTTTCTCTCTATATCCACTAACACTAACCCAAACTAACTCAACCTCAGTGCTAGTTTCTTTCATGTGCTCTAACACAACAGCATGCATTTCACTCCTCACATATAAAGCTACTCCTCCCCTTTTACTCAATACTCTGTTTCTAGTAAATAATCTGTAGCCTGGTATTTCAAACAAATTTCATCAAAATTGTTCAAATCCAACCAAGTCTCAGCGATACCAATAACATCAAAAATTATCAGTTTCCACAACTGCTTTGAACTCGGTTTTATTTCTAATAATCCTAACTTTACAATAATAACAATTAATCATAGATTTTAAAATACATTCATGTTTTATGCCTGTTGTACATGTTTTCCTGTCAATTATATTTCCTGTTTTACTAATATCATAGCCCTCACCTCGGTCTGGTCCTAGTTTAAATCTACTACTACAGCTGAATTAAAAGCCCTTGATAACATACTAGCCCCTGCCTTAATTAAGTGTAAGTCATCCATTCCAAAAAGATTAAATTTCCCATTAAAATTATCCCATAAATCCAACCAGCCTATTTGCTCATCCCTACATGCTGATCTAAGTCTGAAATTCAATCCTAGTGACCTACTTAGTATCTCATCCTCACAATTTATTCTTAGCAATATCCTTGATAAAATCAAGCTATGACTCCTTTTGTTGAATGCCCTTATCAATGTTTAATACTTATCAATAAGCTCCTCAGATCCATCTTTCCTTACATCATTATCCCCAACATGTACCACAAAAACTGCATTGCTACTAGCACCCTTAACTATCTCTGTGGTTCTATCAGTTATATCCTGTACCCCTGCTCCTGGATAGCATAAACATATTCTTTTGTTCCTATTTACTCCACATACTACTCTATCTGGATGTCTAACTAGATAGTCACCTACAACTATAACTTCCTTATCCTTTACACTATCATCCCTTGTGATCCCATCTGTTTCCCTTACCTGCTCTCCCTCATCATTAGCAAGTGCTTGGAACCGGTTGCTTAACCTAAATCCAAGCCCATCCTTGCCCCCTAAATGCATTATTTTCCAAACTTTTAGCCCTATTTCCTTTCTTAGCTCCCTTGAAATCCTGTTTACATGTATAAGTTTAAGTTTTACACTAAGCCCGCCACAACTATAAGAAATTTACATTTTTCCCTTTCCACCTCTGCAACTCCACTTCTAACCTGCAAATAAATTGTACATCCTGGCTACTAGCCTCCCTAAAAGTACACTTTAACCCAGAGTTTATAAATAAAACACTCTCCTGGCATCTGTCACAGTTTATCAACTGAGAACCCTTAGTAGCTAGACTGTTCTTAACCATAGCTGATAATTATCTTGACTGTAAAGTGAAATGAAGTTAAGATTATATTTAACATGCTATTAGTATTACTATTAGTACTAAAGTGTAACAAGTTTGATCTAGCTTCAATAGCTTACAATATTAAACATTCAATACTAATCTCTATAAATAATTAATAATATAATAGGTTATAAACATAAGCACACTCCTATTTTTAACCAAAAATCGTACAACCAAAATTTAATATTAAACCTAATGATAATAGTAAACGAGTAACTATGTGTAATTAAAATCTGATTTAAACTTAATTTAAATACACTTTTTACTTTAAATATCAATAATTATCACAAATGAACTTTAAGGTAACTATTACTAAGCAACTTTCAAATGATAACTATAAAATTTTATTTAATATAAATGCCTTATCAGTTAAAATTAACTTTAAGCCTAATGTTAATAGTAACTGTGTAATTATAACCCAGTTTAATCTTAATTTAAATACACTTTTTTGTTTCAAATAGCAATGCTTATCACAAATTAACTATATAATATCTATTTATAAACAACTTTTGAATGATATCTATTAAATTTTATTTAAATAAATGCCATATCTTATCTCTTTTCTTCATTGCTGCAAAAAAAAGACTTCCTATCTCATTCAACGTGTCCTCTATGAACGTAAACTTCTGTTCACTTGTCATCTATATATATTAGTAAGGTAATTCTGAGCTTTAAAAGTTATGATATTAATGGGAGTGTTGGGCATTCCCTTTCATTATTTTGAGTCATAGCACATGATTCACTCATCCCATGCTCCATTGTCAGATTTCAAAATGTTAACAAAAAGTTGAAACTGATACTTCCAATGTTGTTGACGAACTTGTCTTACTTTGCCAATGAGTTTAAAGCACATGATTCTGTATGTTTGACTACTTAGGTTACGGTTCCCTTGGCATGATGACAAGTGTATTGATGTGCCCTGATGGGAAAACTATTGAAGCTGAGGCAGCACATGGCACAGTCACGCGCCACTACCGATTTCACCAACAAGGAAAAGAAACGTCAACCAACCCTATAGGTGTGAAAAAAATATTTTTTCTTCATGTTATTAGTAGTCTTGAAATATTATATTGTTTGAGTACAAACTTGTATACAAACATTATGAATTCTGACACCACAAACATAAAACACGTTAAATACATATTAGGCCTATCATTTTTATTTTGCATTTTCATGGCTCATTTCATATTAAAGATTTTATTTAGGTTGTAGACAAGATGGCTGAAACTAATATGTGTTTTATATGAAATGTATTATACCACTGTTTTCGTGTTTATTAGTATCTAGGAATAGAACATGTAAACATTAATGTGTCTGTGATAAACTACCCTATTACATGAGCAGTGTATTTGTAAGAGGTCAGCTTTGATCAGGTTGCTAGTTTGTTAATATATAAAGCTTGCAATCTATTTAATAATTAAAATAAGAGAAAAATAGAGAGAAGTACATTTGATGACAAGATTATGCATAAAAAAAACAAAAAGATTCAGGGTACTTAACCCATGTGTACCAAAGGGAAGATAACTTGGTAATTTAGATAATATTTGTTTTACAATCAAATTTTGTTAAACCTTTGTTTCTTGAACATCATTTTCTCTATCCATAAATTTGAGAAGCTGACATTAATTGCCTGTTAAGATTATTTATGAATACCTACTATCAGAGCCCCTCATGTCTGATTGAATGTATTGCAGTAAAATACAGACTTCAAAATCACTTGTAGTAGTTCCATAGCCTGCAAATGTAAAGATTGTTACATTAACATTTAATTAAAAGTAAATTTTGGTGTACATGTACGTCTTAATATAAGATTTATATTTGTCCATCTCTGCATGCAGGTCTGGGAAAGTAAGTCATAATTCTATTTGTAATTTTTCAGCATCAATATTTGCCTGGACTCGGGGATTGGCTCACCGGGCAAAACTTGACAATAATGTAGATTTAGCAAAATTTGCTAACAACCTCGAACGTGTTTGTATAGAAACCATTGAGGCTGGTTATATGACTAAAGATCTGGCCATCTGCATCAAGGGTCTTAGCAAGTAAGATATATCTATTTTACCTTCTTATATGACTAAAGATGTGGTTTCTGATATATTGTAGAATTTTGTTGAACACAACCTAAGGCTTTAGGTCACAGAATCTAGGAACTCCTTAACAAATTCATGTTAAGTCTGATCAAATTACAGACAAGTTAGTGTTATTATTAATAAAGTTTTCATACAATTTATAATTTTAAGTAGGCTTATGGATGAGTTTAATGATTTTTGTGTTAATGGTTAAGAAAGGTTGCTTCTAAGTTGAAAGAATACAAAATGTTATATTTTTTTTATATTGAAGTTACTATGTAGATTTTGAATATTAAAGATTAAATTACAAACATTTTGTCTTCATAATTTGGAAAAAAAGAAACTCACTTATTTGATAGGTTCAATTTTAAGGAACTTTGCTCTAAAAGAGAATTTTTTTTCTTGGATTTATTGATAATTTACTTTGAACTTAGATATGAACAAAATACACAGTTCTGAACTCTGACATATTAACTGTTTGACTTACCATTTTCTTTGCAGAGTTACACGCTCAGATTATCTTAACACCTTTGAGTTTTTGGACAAGTTAGCAGAAAATTTGGTGAAGAAATTAGAGCAGTGACTGCTGAAAAGTTCCATAAGCCGACTCTGAGCACAAATGACACTAATCAAGGGCTTAAATCTTCAGGTTGTTATATCATTCCTCATGTTATGTTATTAGGAAATTCCAAAATGGTACAATAAATCAGAAATTTTTAAAGTATAGTAATTGAATATCTAAATAACCTTCGAGTATTCATTTTTTGTAATATACAAACCTAATTGAACAAAGCATACTGTACGAGATATATATATATATATAAGCACTGTACTGTATATTTTGTTTATTACCTGAAAAATATCATGTAACACGATATTCATAGTAAAGCAAGAACCTATTACATTGTGTTTTTTTCATGAGGTTTGTGAAACTGTTTATAGTATAGTATGCAAAAGTTACCATTACATGGACCAAAAAAAGGGTTTTAAAAAACAAGTAAGACATTGACAGCATCTTCAACAAATATATAATATTCTTTCATAAGTACTCCAAATCTTTACATATGAAGTCTTCTGTTCCAGTATCTCTATATTTAAATTTAGTTTGTCATTATAACAGATGCTAAATGATTAAATAGAAATGACTGTCCACAGGACACTGGTTTATCCTTTTTGTCATATTCAAAGAAAGATGTCCTTGCTTTTATTACCCAGATGTCACATGACTAGGTGAAGTGTCTTTAATGTCTTGACATATGATTTTCATTTTCCCGTGACAAAATTCGAATTGCCTTTATTTTCAGCTTAGTTGGTCACCTCCCTAGTCAAAGGTGACAAACGGTATTATTAAACTTGGTTTTCAATCAAATTACCAAGATACTACAAGTTTATTCATATTCTTCTGACTCAACGTAATATGTATTATTTATTTATTATATATATAAAAATTCAAGGTCTCCTACATAATATAGAGTTTCCACCTTTATTGTTGCTATGGGAAACTTCCTCACTGCCTCATCAATTAGCACACATAGGTGTACCTTGCCAGGTTCACACTACTACATCCAATGTCTCACAGAACCTTCACTTTCTTTTCCCCAACATAGCCTTCACATATTGGTATATTATGAATTATTAGAACCTCTCAATATTTGGAACTTCAGCCAACCATTAGTTGTGCACTGATCAATCATGTAAATGGCACTTCCTTCTTATGGTGAATCTCAAAAGTTGTCTCAATTCTGTTTCTTCTGGCAGCAGCACCCATGGTGTCAGTCACTCTTTTCTTGTTTCTTACCAGCATAATCTTTGTAAATAGCTCCAGCTGCTTTATGTTGAGATTTCTGCTGTTGCTTGCTGGTAATGGACTTTGCAATGTGTCTCATTTTATAACAAACATCTCTTTTTCCTTCTGTCTATTAACCTCCTGTCACCTTTGGTAAACTCTTGCTTCTGATCAGCCATCACTGAATTTAACTGGAAATTTTGGAACTTGCCAGTTTTACCCCCTCCATGGGCTTCCATATATTGTTCTGCCAGCTTGATCATCTCCTTCACACCTTTTGGTGCTCTCTCTTTTAGGAACAGTAATGTGTCAGTTGAACACGTAATCATGAACTTGTTCACATACTAATAGGTCTGCCAGTTTCTTAAAACTATTTTCACACTTGGCCATGTCAATCCATCTGGTGAAGTATTGCCATAGACATGCTACAAACTGAAATAACAGTTTCAGGTTTGACTTCTCTGAACTTCTGGTGAAAACCTTCTTCAGTAAGTTCATCCTGTTTCAGTAAAGCCACTTTTAATTTGTCATAGTTCATGGCATATTCTGGCATCATGCCAGCATATACTTGTAGGCTTTTTCCTGTGAGAAGTGGGCTGAGACAGACTGCCCAGTTCTGACTTTGGGTGAATCTTTCTGTTCATCAAATTTGGGCAGCTTGGGTTGACTGGCCCTAACTCCATTGTCATTCAGCTTTGGGGCAGCTTTGCAATCTCAATTTGTGCTCTTATTCTCTCTAGTTCTAGTCTCTCCTCTCTCTTTTTCTTCTTTCTCAGTTTGTATTCTTATTGATGAAACTTTGTAGAGTGGATGGCAACTGCCTGTTGTAGAGGACTTGAAGATGGAAGGCAGAAGACTTTTGAAACATTATCCTCTACACTTGTGTCTCTACAACAGGCAGTTGCCATCCATTCTACAAAGTTTCATCATGAATACTCTGCCTAAACAATCTATCAAAGAACTGTATTCTCATTCTTTCTATTTCCAGTTTCTCCTTTGTCTTTCTCTTTTTTAATAAACTCTCATAGTTCACTCACTGTCTTTTAACCTTTGGCACTCTCCAATTTCTATCCATTTATTATAATCTGACATGGTTCCACAGCATGATTGTAATCTACACACTATTTGCTCTGCTACTACAGTTGTGTGTATATAGGCCTACTGATTTCTGCTGTAGTTCATGTTTTCTTCTACTGCTGTTTACCACTGTATAATCCTGGCTGTGGTTTGCCAAATGTCAGGCTACTTACTTTTTAATAATATATATAGAAGGTAAATCTATATATATATATATGGGTGTGTTTTGGGCTAAGGACTCTTCTACAGTAGGAGTCTGCAACTTGTTCGTGTTAAATTCAACAATGAATGAATAGCACACACTCTGCTTATTTTAAAATAATATATCCAAAACAAGTTGAACGAATGTAAAAAAAATTATTTACACTATGTATATCATAGTTGTATCTTAAATACTATACAGTTCTCTTCTTGTCAAAGTCCACTTAAGCCAATTCAATTGCTTTAGAATTCAGTTGACAAGCCAAACTATTTTTCTCTCAAACACTGTCATGTATAATTCACTTATTCCTTTTCTTCACTCTGTTTTTTTTTATTTTATCACAACAGTATTAGTTTCTAATTCTCTTGCACTGTCGTATCCTGAACTTCTGATACTAGTCTGTTTTTGTCAAAGTCCACACAGACAGGTTCAATTGCTTTAGAACACCCTTTATGAGACAAATTATTCTCCTAAAATGTCAGAAAACTGTTAATGTAACTAGAACATACAAATCGTTAGGCTAACTTTAAATTTTTAACCTTTCTTTCACTCTTCCCACTCTCTGGTCGTCGCTATTTATATCTTTCACCGAGGCATTCTAGAAATCTCCGTAGCCTTGACAGTATAATATCAGCATACGCCACACAACATGCTCTATTCTATCTCCTCATTCAAAGTATGCAAATACCAACTAGATGCATCAGTTGTTAAAGAAAGTTTGTGTAAAGTTGACTGCATATTGAATTAATTATTATCAGTTGATTATGGAAAGGTGTTTTTTGGTACAAGGATTATTTATTATGCAAGGTATGCACCATAAGGTGATATTATTTTAACTTGTTTTTACTCATTAATTTACAGATAATTGCATTTTAAGCATGCAGTCAAATTAAACTTGTATATTGCTGTCCATAAGGATATTATTCATTTGCTTAGAAATGGCTCTTGCAAATTGATTAGGTGAAAAGTCTGAGTCAAATTCTGGCTGGAAATGAAAGGTCTTTGACAAACTAGAGAACAAAAAGCATAAAAAAAAAGTTCAGTTGATATGTGGACAATTTTGGCACTTATTGATTTTTAGGATGCTGAAAAAGTAATGCATATGAGCACAGGCACAAAAATCCTGCTAAGACTACGAATCATTATTGACATTCAGAACTTAAGAATGAAAAATAAGAAAAATGTAGTGAACTTAACAAATAGTTTTATATTATTTCTAATGAAGACGGCTTATTTTATTTATTCAAATTGCATTTGTATGCATGCAATGGAAGTAATCAACCCTTAAATAAACAATATTTCGTTTATTAATTGGTGTTTTCATGTTGTGAATGATTTCTAATTTCAAAACTTGTTTGTTTTGGGTCCTGCTTGACCCTCCAGTTACCATCCCAAACTAATTATATAGATAGAATGCAAGTAGCTAGTAAAATTATAAAAAGAAACATTTAAGAATACACTAGCTAAAACTTTTAAATGTAAAAAATAAAAATGGGTACATGTTAAAGGCCAAATGGGCTACAGATCAGTGGGTTTAGAGTTTGAGACATGCTCCCCCACTTTAGTTATGGATGCATTATAAAAGTGACAGTCACTTAATGGGTTCAAAGCCCTTTTTGTTCTTACAAGTTTTACATAACAATTGACACCTTTAGCTTGTATGGATATCAGTTTTTTAAACATTTTTCTAGAGTATTTATACATCAAATTGCTTGTATGACTGTTGTTGTTTATGGAGTTTTTGATAATACAAGTGACAAAAAATGTAGATAAAAGTATCACTAATACTGTAATTAACCTTACTAATTACTACCAGGGCCCTCACATACTTTACCAAATGTTTTTGGTCAGTTCTTTACCGTGAATCTTGTAACATGCAGTATGTGAATACCACATATAAAAACAAATCTGTAGTTTGAAGGCTAACTTGCCACAGATACATCTTCAAGTCCAAAATGTTTGACTTATCATAAACATACTCCGATCAATAACAAATAAGCACATTCTCAGTATATGTAAAAGTTTGACTGAAAGGTTTTGATCATCTTTAAATACTCATGTAACTAGTTCATAAAGACTGAAATACACAAATGCTGCATACTGTGACAGGTTTTCTATTCAGGCATTGCATCTCAAAAAATGATTTTCTTTGGGGAAAACAACTCCAAAAAATAGTTTTATAATAACCAGCAGTTTTTTTATGTATTAAAATTGTTTTAAAAGTGGTTAATGTTAGAGCCAAGTTTGTATTACGTAATTTATTTGGACTATCACCACATCTTTTTTTAGTTTTTTTAATGCACAAGCTTTCTGTTCAATTACCTATACCTTCTACAGGCTCGAGACATTTAATAAATTGAGCCGAAAGCATGTGCATTAATACGAATATGAGTACTCATGTTAAAAGTCACTTGGAGCCAAGTAATATTTATTGATCCTAACAAAAATTAGCCAAATTGTTGACAAATTTCCCTAACTTACAGACCTGAATCTTTTCTTCCATGCACTACAAATTCAACTGAGCAAATGATTTCTGAAAAATATACTGTTCTGAACAATTTCCATAGCCATAAAAACATGAAGAAATTGCCATAGTTATTTAATAAATCACAAAAAAATAAATAGTATTTTGTACCACAAAAGACCTTTTATTGAACAATAGAATCTTTATTCAGAAATAGCAAATGAATTTTTGTGATACCTTTAAAAACAGGTTAGAATGTAATACAATTTCAAGCAAGAAAATCACCATATAAAATTAAGAGGGCAAAAGCTCTCATTCAACAGGAAGCTGTACAATTCTTAAACTACTGTACAAGGTTCATCACAGAACTTAAAGTAAACTGAGAACAGAAAATGATGGTCCATATTTCACTAGAACGTGTTTACCCATCTACGAGAGGGATGAATAAAGATACATTTATTACGAGCTAAATATTTTGTGTATATACACATAAATGATTTTCATTGTAGCATATGAGTTAACCAGGTGAAAAAAAAAGATACCAGTTTTGTTTAAGTTTCTAACAAAAAAATTTCTCTTGGTTAAAATGATCCTCCACTAGAAAATTGCTTATTAAATTACTCTATCTAAATGAGCAAGAAGTCGCGTGTCACAGTTTGTGATTATTTTTTTCTACTTTGATTTGCTGCTTCTCACCACACAGGAAGTGATTGACAGCTAAAGTATTGCATGCAAACACACACATGTCTTGTAAAAAGGAAATCTAACTGTTTTGAATTTGTGAAAATGTAAGACTATTTAACACGTTTTATACAATTGGTCCCCCATGGGGAATAATGCGAGTCTCTATAAATCTTGTTGGAGTGGACGAAAAAGGCCAGGAGAAAGAGATATGTTAATCCCTTTATTTAGTTGGAACACGTTTGATGTTCTTGCTCATCTGTTCTTCTTCTGCTAATTGTTGGCGGAAGGAGGTGACTTTTTCTGTAGAGAAATAACATACAATACATTCAACAACTGATTTTTCTGAAGATACGTAATGTCCTTAATCTACCATGACTTATCCATAAAATTAGTGTAAGAGACGGAATTTCAGTCTATTTAAAAAATAAAATGACAAGTAGATTCAATGCTTTGTATTGCTTCCTAAACTAAAAATAATCACCTTCATGTTTTTATCTTTGGAGTTTACCTACATCTTCATATAAAATATCTCTGATGGCAGTCCATGCCTAAACACATCATCATATTCAACTGTGAGAAAAAATATTAAAGTCCAAAAACTCTTCATTTAAAGTACCTTTAAAACTTGCCAGAGCTTCAATCTTCTCTGATAACAAATCTTCTACTTGCTGAGCATAAGCTGTGAAACAAAAGCAGTCTTTCTAAGAGTATCAGCAATAAATTTGTTTCTTCTAATTTATGTACTAAGTCACCTTTAAAACATTCATTGTTCTTGATATCGGTAACTAAATTCAAAGTACACAAACGTCATCAAGTGATAAATTATGGTGTATTTACTAAAGAAAATTTCAAAACACACAATGATTTTTTGAGCCATGCAGCATTTCAATAAGTTAACCCTTTCACTACGGGCTCGGTGGATTACACCAACCTTCGGATCCTAAACTGATATGAGCCTTTAGATCTTACCTAAAGCTGGTCAATCTAAACACAGCAAGAGAAACATTCAAACAGAAGATGAAATAAATAATAATCTGTATTGAAAACAGTGGAATATAATACATCATTTGATAGATTAAAACTTTGGCTTTCTATTGTTTATAAGTAATATAGTACAAAACATCAGAGAGAACTACCAGTAATTTGTGAAAGAGGGAATGTGATAGGTGGGGTCTGGCAAGTGGTTCTAATTTTGTAGTTGATTACTATAAATATATATGATTGAAGATTATAAAAATTAGATTTTAGCTTAGTAATATCTATATTATAATAGATAATTTACTTCTCAGATGTATAGTAAATAAATTAAAGACGAGGGAAGACCTTGAGAATGAATCTTGCAATTCTCATACTAAGGGAGATTTTTAAAAACTTGCATGATATTAATATTTATTTATTAACTACATTTTGATGCCAAGTTTATTCGTATACATTGATAATAAAGTACTTTAAGTTTTGAATGTAACTAAAAAAGGCATGACATGCATACTTTGACCTACCCTAGTGAGAGGGTTAATGCTTTTTTTGTACCTTATAATTATATAAAATACATTCACTCAAACTATCATGAGAACCACAATTACTTATAAAACAAAATCTTGAAATAAATAACAGAAGAATGGAATAGCGATATTCTGGTTAACTTCTGGGCTGTATTTTAAATCAGCACAACTTTTGAAATATATGAAACTTACCATCAACATCATAATCGACTTCGTTTGCCATGTTCAGCAGGCTGATATCAACTTCTAACCACTTATTACTTGCCTAAGTAATAAAAAAAGAATTGTTGTTTGCAATTAAATCTTCCACCTTTATAAACAATGAAATTTAAATATTGTTCTCAGTTTATGCAACACTTTAGAAGTAGTGTAGAAAAACAGCACAGTTGTAAAGTTTTTAAAAACTCTTGTTTCACTTAACACTTAAGAGTTATGATAAGGCCTTTAGTACAGGTAGGTATTTTAAGTTCTTAGCCCTATCTTGTACAATGTGTAGTCATCATGATTGCTCCCCTAGGCTAGCTGCTTTTGAACATAATTTTTGGCTTAAACATCTCTGTAGAAAGGCCCATCAGTTTTTTTCAGCAACAATCCTGACAAGTGCTTTTAGACAATGTTCAAGTGTATTTTTAGAATAAGTAAAACTGAAGAAAACTGAGCTCGACACAAATGTTTTCTGCAAACAAAAAGCACACAAAAAATAAAATATCCAATCAAATGTTAAGGAACAACAAAGAAATGGCATAAAAATAAAGATTAAAATAGGTTTGGTATGCCATACCATCACTTAACATCAAATTTCGAGCACTGATTTTATACAAATTCTTAGATAAAATACCAATGTTTAATGCAGGCATGTGCAATATATTGCTTGTGGACCACATCTGGCCCACAATGTTTTACATCATATTTTAAGAACTTATTGTGGGATGCAGCCAGCAGGCCATACTTTGCACATGCATTTTTTAATGAATGAAGTAGTGGCCTTTCACTTGTGAGCTATAAAATGACAAAAAAAATCAGAATGATAAAAATACAAAATCAATTATGTAAAAGTAATCATGAATAATGATTATGCTTTACGTCTGAAACTTCAATTAAAATAACACTGGTAAGGTATACATCAGTCTCTCAATTTCTCAGCTTTTTAGTTCAACAACATAGGATTCTGAGTAAACATAACATTGATAGATTATGAAAACACTGAATAGTATAGGGCTATTCAAAAGTCACATCCAATAAAGATTACATGGAAAGCAATGAAACATAGAATCACAAATGTACTGTATTGCTGCAGTTCTCCATTTTCTGTATATTCCCTCAAGGGAATGTGTATTTTAAATAACCCTGTATAAAAAAGATGACCTATAAAGAACAATAATGAAGAAAGTCAAAATAATTGACTTAAATACAAAAGCAACAAAATCAGTAAATAAAACAAAAAAATATAGTATGTTTTGTAACCTGAATAATTTTGTATTTTAAAGGTTTAGTGTACTTTTTGTTTTTATGTTATTTTATATTAAGTTGACTTACTGGTGGTGAACCTGTTACAAACACCCCAAAACAATACAAGGCTATAAAATATTAACAATTATCAAAGCAATGGCCAACTATAAGGACAACTCAAACCCTTTTATATTGAATATCATTGTTAAGTTTATCATATTGAAGCAACAAACATTTAAAGGAACTTATTGTTTGTTGAAAGTAAACTATGTTTATTAGATATTAAATTAAAATATATATGAATGAATTTTTTAAAAGCAGAAACTAGGTAGTATTTAGAAACATGATCTAAGTTTCATGGAATTTTTTAGCCATTGGGAAGGAGGAAGGATATCAATGGTATCCTCTAGTCCAGAAAAGATTAAGCTTCTGGTATCCATTTAAACAGAATTACAATTTGTTTGCTATCAAAAGTTACACTGCACATAGTTTCAAGATCAAGTAATAATAAAATCTTTATAAATTGAGAAATGCTCGTCTTACAGTCTATTAGATCAAATGCAAAACTTACATCAACCACAGTTTTGTGTATGTCCAAAATCTCCTCTTCCATTTTCTGGAGGTGAGATATAGCAGCATGGAATGTGACAAGATCATCTGAAAGCTCTTCCTCCTGACAGGAAAAAAAAAAGTGTAACACTTGCTACAAGATATAAAAATATCATTACATAACTTATATTTTATTCAATAATTTTTAAGCCTTTTCATGCCATTTGTGGCTATATCTCTTCCTCTTTTTCACTTATTAGCTTCAAACTTTGTTGAAGTTCTACCCCATTTTATAGAAAACTGTCTAATTATAATCCAAAGCAACAGAAATAAAAACTAAAATGTGGAGGAAGCATATGCTCTGTTTATTGTTGCAGTCTCAAGTTCTGTTAGATATGTTAAAAATGTCATAGCAAAAGAAAACACAATTAATTTACATTTTTGGATCTCAAGAGGGCAAAATCATCATCATCATCATCTTGTGTCATCATCTCTTCGTCTTCATTTTGATCAGATCTAATCTCAGTGTTTTCGGGATTATCCACACCCAATTCTTTTACTCTACAATAAATAAAAAAATAACATAAAATACTAAAAAAAACGAAATGTGATAAAACCCTGGTATGTTTAACAGGTGGTCTTCCATTCTTCAGATGTAAGTACAGTTTTTTTTTAAAGTTATTTATCAACTAATTTTATCCTGCATTTCATCATAACCAAATATTGAAATATTGGTTCCTCAAACTATATTCAAGTTAACGTTTTATGCAAGTTTATGTCAGGTTTTAAGGTTAAATATTGAACAAATATTACCTGTCTGCATATCGGAGGGTATTCAGCGAGTGCTCACAGGAACTCAAACCAGGAGAAATCATTGCTATCTGTAAAACAGGAAAGAAAAAATAATGTAACTAGAAAGTAAAATTATAACATAGCAGTATCTTAAAAACACTGTTAATGATACTGAAGAAAATCACAGAAATTAAAATACATTTAATATTCAGATTGTGATAACACCCAAAGGATAGCTATGTAATAAATCAGTGTTTCAAATACAACTTCCTTTTTTCCTTGCCATACAGAATATGTAGAACATTGTCTGAATTGTATTTAAATTGCATCTAAAATAGTTGGGACTTTCTCTGTCTAGTATAATACATTTTTAAATTTCAAGTTTTATAAAACCAAAGCTTGTACAATGTGAGTCATCATTACTCCTATTACATTCATAAAATATCATAATACAAAATATTGATAACTTTTGCCACTACATTTTCTTACCAACTCAAATATAAGTTTCAGACAGCAAACCAACCAGATGGTTGTTTATTGTAAGCCACTGCCACAAAGGCTTTATGCTCAAATAATATAATTTAAAAATGATTTAAATCAGTTATATTAATGAACAGAAGCTTACTATCAAAGCTTACAAATCTTTGTCTCCTACTGAAGGTACCTCTTAAGAGTAAATGATTGTTACTACTACACACAACATTTAAAATTACAGCAATCTTAAAGTGATATTATCATTTACAGGCTAAAATCAATTTAGATGTCAATCTATTAAACAGCACAACATAAATTCAAACATAAATTACTTACAAAGTATGGCAGTATAAAAAAGCAACTTATTTATGTCTTTAATGAACTTATAAAGTTTAGTTGATGGGTGGAAAAACTTTACATTTAATAGTGTCATCTTGAAGTTAAACAAGGAGAAGAGTATAAGCTGTACACATGAGATGATAGAGCAGTTTATTCATAACAATTCTGCAACTTACTCACTACCCGATAAACATGTACCGTATTTTTTGGTGTATAAGATGCACTTTCTTACCCCAAAATATGCTTGCATCCTATACACCGAAGGTATGAATAATATATATATGTATATATACGATATACACAAGCCATGTGTAAATATATTTAAATAGGCATGCATAGTTTACTTCAATTGAATGTATTATTTATAACAATAGTAGTTTTTTTCTTTTAAAAACATAACTATTTTTTATGCTCCCTAAATAATAAAAAAATAAATTACATTGAAAGCAATGAAGATTTTGTAGGTTTTGAACCAAACTAAATAACAGTAAACCTTTTTTTGATTTATGGTATTTTCTTATTTTGATGTTTTGAGCTCTTTTGTGTTTAGAACAATATATACTAATTTTATAAAGTATAAAATTGAATTTTTGTTCATTAAAAATCTTTAAAATGCGACTGTAGCTTTTTTTCCCCCAAAACTTTGTCTTCAAATAAGGATGTGTTTTATATTCTGAAAAATACGGTATTTGACAATAAATCCTCTTTAACCGGGTGTATAGAAGGTTTATGAAAAGAATGTCATTCAATACTTGTTTTTTCTGAACAATGTATTAAAGTATACTTTAGAGTCACGAGTCAAACACCATGTCATTGTGTTTGTTGACTCGCATTCAAAATTTTATTGAACTACTATTTTATGGATGTATGTCAATAAGTTTGGTATCAAATTATAAATTATTATTTTAGAACCACACATTAGTTAATTTTTTAATTTAAAAGTAAATATAAAAAAAACACCTAAATATTGATTTTTGTGTGTCATTTGGTATTTTGAGTGCAGCATATGTTCAAATTAGATGTTTGTGATGTCTGAATGTAAAGCCTGTAGTTTCTTACAAATTAAATACTCAAATTACCAATATTAATAAGCTAGAATGTAAAATAAAAACCTCCTATCTTTTCTATTTTCTGACATACTAATATATTTATTGAATTAACTAAGGTGGCACTGCCCACCTCTTCAATTTTTGAAAATATACTTGCTTTGGTACATATGTCACCCAATAATATGTGTATAACCAATCAAAAGTTAAGAATGTCCCCTAATGGCTTTCTCAGCTTTTTTTGAAGTATTTGGGCAGCAAACTCATTCTTTTCATGCTAGATTCCAAGCAAAATTTCATATTTTTTTAGTCCCAAATACAGCTTAGTTACTAATCTTGATAAATTATAGTGGAATTCTGTAGTATTGATATAGTTATTTATGATTTTTGGTTATTTCAAAATGTATATATAAAACCTAAAAAACTTTCACATCCTCCATGTGTGAAATTTGATAAGGTCTAGCAACCTACAGCAAGCAACAAAGGAGTACAAATTTTGTAACTAGTAGAAATAATTATTTGCTATACTTCTTTATTTAGTGTTCTGTGTTTTAAGAAAAATAACTGAAACTTAAGAACTTACTTGTAAATAGTAATAATGTGTATGCAGATATAATGTATTATAACCAAAATATGACTGTATTATACAAAATATTGGTCCACTAGAAAACAGCCAAGACATGTCAGTTTGTAAAGGCCAGTTTTATATTCTTGGATATGGTAACGTGAGTGCAACATATGTAAGTTAGTCAGGCATGACTGAAAGGTCCATATAATAAAAATAATAATATATATATATATAATGTATAATTTTATGAGATTTACACTATTTAGACTAAACATCCATGTTTTCGTGCTATAATTTGTAATTATTCTACACAAAAAAAAGCATAATGTATATTTATTTCCTAATTTTGTATGGTGGTTACAAGGTCAGTCAAATACATTGAAAATAACAGATAAAACAAAGTTTTTCTTAATAAACGTTTGATAATTATCTGGAGGTTATTTATAAAGATTTTGCATGTGAAATTTGAAATTTTTCTAATGCATGAAAATATTTTTAATCTTAAAATCAAAATTACCTTGCATGTTGGATAGACAACATTCGAAAAAAAAAAAGGCACGAGAAAAACATTATTTAAAAAATCTTAAAACTTAAATTATTGGTCCTCGACAATCCAGGGTTATGGGTTTGAGAGTATACTGTTTATCTCTTTCAGTATAATTTCTCACCTTTTTTCTTGTGACATTTTGAAGTAAGTGGTTTCTTGTATTTTTCACAGTAAAGGACTCTCAAAGTTATTAACTTTTGTTTACCTACACTGTCTGGTCATTTTATGAGGACCCTACAACTAATATTGGGTTGAATCATTATATGCTATGTTAACTTCTAGGAATCAGTGTTGAACAGAATATACGTGACCTAGAAAGTGTCTTGTTTTAAATGTAGTCAGTTCCCTGAGGATTATCACTTACAATTAGCCCTCTATCATGGCAATTCCTCCCTATTTCTATGAAGCTATACATAGTAATGTTTACAACAACTCCAAATTTACTTAAGTGTACTTTCACAAATTTGGCAAGGTTTTTGTAAACATAACAAGTCTGTTGTACATAAAAAATCAAGAATTTTAATAAAGTATTTATAATAAAGATTTGTCTGTGAATTTTCAAAGCTTTTACTGAGTCAATTTGAATGCAAGGCGATTTCTATTCTAAGAATAAAAAATACTTTTTTTTTCATCTTATAGTTTTCATATTTGCATAATCTATAAAATCTCCTAAATTAATTCCAAAAGTTTTTTCAGTGCCAGTCTGTTGAAGAGGTATTTCAAGAGGGAAGAAAACCTTATACAAATGGACATGGCATGTGCAGCTGTCATAGAAGCAGAATCTGAAAACAGTGACATTATAGAAGATAAGGACCTACTAAGCCTAAGAGCATTGAGTAGAGGCGAGACATACAAATACGTCAACGTGAGTGTCAAACTGACTGATAAGAAGGAAGAGGAACAAAATCTACTATGTCAGCATACAGATAGATCAGGAAATATGGACCTCAGGCAACACAAGGTCAAGATGGAGACAAGGGATCCCATTAAGGAGAAACCCTACTGGAGACCCTACCCTACGAAAGACAAACAAAGAAAGAACCTGTAAATGTTGGTGTAGACCATATGAGAAGACTTAGTATGTGAGCTAAAAAACAGTCTTGTAAATAGTGAAAAAAATATTGTAAATATTTATCTTGAAGAGGGGTTTATGTCAAGATATAGTGTATATATATATATATATATATATATTATTAATTACTTTATTTTTTGAGTGAATATTTTATGAAAGTTTAGTAACAAGACAGAAGCAATTATTTTAAAGTAATTGTTATGACAAGTTTAGTTACGTAACTTAGTAAGAGTCATAAGTTGTGTTTGTAACTCACTGATGTAGAGATTATTGAATGTTGCCGTTAATTTATTGATGACAAGGATATAGCGAGCAGACGATTAAGTAATAAACATATAAATTGTGTGAGGTGAGCGGGAAAACTCGACGGACAGATGAGAAGTAAAGTTACAAGAAGGAATTTGGCCAAAGAAAAGTTAAACGCAAAGTTAATTGTCGCAGTAGTGGAAGGCCTAACAGTTGATATATTAGAGTGAGACTAACGGTGTTGTAAGAGATAAGAAGAATAGTTTATTTTGTCAAAGAGAGTTCTAATGTAACTGACCTAGCCTAATGGACTTTGACAAATAGACAGACAATTCTTGGAAATACAAACAGAGAAAAACGAGTAGACGATTTTAAAAGTATAGATACAACCATGGTAATTCGACGTTAAAGTAAGTGAACTGTACTTGGATAGTTTGGCGATAGTAATAGAAAAAAATACTTCTGCTTGTCAACTGAAATTCTAAAGCAATTGAAAAGGCCTATGCAGACTTTTGACAAGAAAAAGATAACTATATAGTGTTTATGATATACCTATGATCTATCGTGTAAAGAATTTTTTGTACATGTGTTTAACTATACACCTGGAAAAAAGTTAAG